ATATTTTTTATAGGGGATTTAAAACAACCAATGGTAAAAAATAATCCTATGCGGCAGTTGAACGAACCCGCTTCTTTAACTTTCGTCAACATCAGTATGAAGTGCCCTGCCGATTGACTTGTCGACCACGCCTCTTCACAACCTTTGATCTCCAACTCGCCAACAGCATATATTGACCCTTACTCTGTGTATTGTGTCCTGACAGAATCCCTTTCAACTGTCTGGGTGGTGTCCCTAGCTGCTGTCTTGTTTTTGCTGTCTGTGCTGCTGCTGACATTACTGTCCACCTGGCTGTACAGACGACGAAACATTACGATGATGAAAATCGTCCACTGGTTCCAGCCGTTTGAAGACGACGGTAAGGCGGTTATGCCTGTGTTAGACTGTGTAATCGTATTTGTTGTTGTTGTCTTTTTCAACATGTGTATGCCATGTTCAAAAGCCAAGCCAATCACCTCATACGAAAACAGTGTTACTTAGTTAGTTAGTTAGCTAGTTAGGTAGTTAGCTAGCTAGCTAGTTGGTTAGTTAGTTAGGTAGTTAGCTAGCTAGCTAGTTAGTTAGTTAGTTAGTTAGTTAGTTAGTTAGTTAGTTAGTTAGTTAGTTAGTTAGTTAGTTAGTTAGTTTGCCAGCTAGTTAGTTAGCTAGCTAGTTAGTGGACAGATCAACCCTCGTTGCACGTAGAACCATTCAGGCTATAAGTGATCAGGTCCCTGCCTCTGTAAATCCCACAACGTTTTGTGGCTCACGACAGCACTAGTTCTGTATTGGATTCTTATTCTTTTTTGGCTTCTTGTATAGTGCTTTTATCTGCCTCCTAATAAGCATATGGTAAAGAGCAACCGATTACGGCTGTGTTGAAACCGTAATCGAGATAGATGAAAGTCGTAAACTTTATAGAACAATTAGACATTTTAGTTAGTTGCGTATCCTTTACAGGACGTTGCAGAACCAACCCCAGCATTTTTTGGCTGTTGTGGATTTTCTAGGCAAATTTACGTCCAGTAGTTTACAATTTGACATATGCAGACAATATTTTATTGTTTTAACAGGGGAAATCCACAGGTCCCGGGACAGTCTAATATTTCAGGGGGTGGTAGATAGGCTGCATGCAGTAGTGGGACCAAGGCTGCAATCATTCATGGGACCTAGGCTGCATGCAGTCGTGGGACCTAGGCTGCATTCATTCATGGGACCTAGGCTGCATTCATTCATGGGACCTAGGCTGCATTCATTCATGGGACCTAGGCTGCATGCAGTCGTGGGACCTAGACTGCATTCATTCATGGGACCCAGGCTGCATTTCCTCGTGGGACGTAGGTGGGTTGGAGTTAGGGTCAGTTCTAGATAATATGGAGTCATTAAAAGCATCAGATAGCAGGGAAACCCAGTCTTACCACCTCTAAAATTTTGGACTATTCTGTGACGGACGTCATCTGGGGTAGCATATTAATAAAGAACCAATACTTTTTGGACATATTATGAGAAGGGATAGACTCCAGAACTTGGTAACTAAATGTAAAATCAATGGAAAGAGAGCAGGATGAAGGCAAAGAAATAAATATCGAGATCATCTGGTCAGATAGATGGGGGTGAAACAAAAACATTGAACAGATCAGTGATTCTGGTGATCATGTGAGATGGCGACACATAACAGTCTTCGAGGACCGGAACGGCAAATAACGAGGATGATACTGATGATGATTATGATGACGATGACATAGACGACTATGATGATGATGATAATGACGATGATGATATCTGATGTTCTGGACCAAATGGCGTCAATATCTCAGCCTAGCTGTGAGCCATAACATTATGTGCCAGTTTCCCTTCCAGGGTGAACTATATGCTTCCTCTCAGCTAACAAAGATAGATTGCATAAGATAGTTTTCAGGTTCTAAAACATCGTTTTAATTTTAACTTTAGTTTTGTTTATTATTGTGTTTAAATATCGGATGCGTCATAACTTTCTCATAGCATTTGACTGTACATGTTTATAGTTTGTTTAGTTGTGCGTCTGTACGTGCGCAGAAATTTGACACAAACCACCTTATGACGATCCATCAACACCTAGTAAGATAAATTAACCGAACATTCTGTTTTCATGTAAATGTTAGAACATTTGCATATTTGCCACAAGCTTCAAAAGACTAACGAGATTATGTAAGCTTGCAAAGCTATAGGGTTTTCACTGACTTTCATATTAGGTAATATTTTAATGGAAACGTCATGAAGGAGAATGAAGGGATGGGATCCATAAATTAGATCTGGGATTATTTAATGTGATTTTATAGAATAAATATGAGAAACCCAGGGACATGTTAAAAAGAAAGCATGATAGAGATGTAAAATTCTTCTTAAAGTTGTGTAGTTGGTAGTCATGTCTACCCACAACCTTCGCCCGGCTCTCTAGCGCAGTCGGCTAAACCGGATTGCGCGGAGACCGGGTGACGAACTCCTTGTGGTCCGGGTTCAATCCCGGGGTAGGCAGAAAAGCCACATTTTCTCCCAGATTTACGGTATTTACAATGGAATCAAGGCCAAAAGGTTGCGATATCCACAATACCGAGCCTTAGAGTTAACAACTCATGGCTTCTGGATACTAAAACAAACAAATAAACAATCCACAACCTTCAGTCATGTGTACTTTCAGTCAACTCTGATACAGATGATCCTCCATGCCATGATGCCAAACTGTCCAGAATCTGTTCTCTGGGTCTTCCCCTGCCTCTCCTCCGCTCCAACTTTCCTATCGTCACAATGCACTCCAATTTTCTCCTTTTCATCACATGCACCGAGAATTGTAGATTGTCTCTTTCTGATGTGGGTCAAATTCGTGGTGTAAAAAGGGGACACCTTTCCACAATATCAGGCGAACTTGGCATATAATACTAAACATATATTCTGATCCCTGTATGGGTTCTGGGGTCCTATTATAGGGAAAACAAGAATAGACCCACTGCCTACACAAAAGCATGTCGTAAGAGTCGACTAATTTGGAGCTTCCTTCGAAGTCGGAGTGCATCTGCCTGAGAGGCAAGGAACCAGCAGTCTGCATACAAATGAGTCAGATCTGTCAAACGGATGCACACGTAACACTCAGGTTCTGGAACAGGACTACAGTCCAGAAGTGGATTTTGACAGCCCAATCAAAACTCTGTGGTTGATGTGGTTAATATCAGCCAGCCGCCTTTACTTCTCATGATTTTACCTGACACCCATTTAAGACTCTGTCGACGTGGAAGCCTAGGTCATTTGTTGTGTGTGTCTCCTTCCCTGCGTGTTGTCATCTTCTTCTTCAGCATTCCCAAGCCATGAGGCTGACTGCTGCATACATCAGTCAAATTCAGTCATCTCTGTGATAGACATTTTCTTTCCAATAGTTCAGTAGGTCTGCCTATATACTGTGTGATATCACTGTCGCATGACAAGGTGCTGCAGGCGAAGATATACCTCAGAATAACTGCAGACAAAGATCACCATTTACACGAATCGCTGGACGCAGTTAAGGGTCAACGGCTGATAAGATGGCAGTCATGGATAGCCCAGGCGAGGGACAACGATGATCAGACAGGTTTACATCCTGGAGAACATTACGGCAAAGAGAGGAGTGGGTCAGACTGTAAGCTGAACAGACAGACTTGGAAAGAGTCATAAACACATTGAGCCGGGAATGCAGAGACTGGCCAGAATGTGCCACGGAGGTGGAATTTCTTCAGTTAATTCGGAAAAATGCTCTTGATGTGATTATTTATACAAATGGTTCAGTGTCAAGAGGCAAAAAAAGTGACTGGGGTTTCTTAGCAAAAGCTAATGGTCGACGTTTGGTGCAGGAGAGCCTAGCATGTGATATCACAAAATCCAGCTCAAGAATGGAGGTAGAGACGGTCACTGCAGCTTTCCTCGGGATAGGGAACACGATATATATACACACACAGCGTGATTGTAACTGACTCAGAAAGCATGCCCAAGAAGGCGAGGAGAGGCATGCTTCGTACAGAGTGGCATGCTTCGCTTCGGAGTTCAGGAATGAAAAGCATTGTCTGGATCTTCATCCCGGGGCTTGCCGGTGTGTTGTCAAATAAACAGGTGGAAAGACTGGCTGGCTCTGCACAGCTTGACGGAATACTGATGCATGATAAGGCAGACGTAGTTAAGACCTTATGGGAGCAGTGGACAATGCGGAACAGCAAACTGAATCTCACAATCTGGTGAGAGTGATGCAGCGAGGAGTGACCAGGAGATCTGGCCGATACTCGACGCTCAGATGAAAGGCGAGACGGACACATAGACTGCTAGTGGCACCATTGGTACTGGACCTCTGCACTGGCTGCTAAAGATGGGGACGGAGCGCATATGGGAATGCGCCGAGTGCTGTGATGTGGGTTCTTGAATCAACCTAACTCAAATCAACTGAGTGTCGCATGTCGTTAAAAATATTTATTCTTACGTGTTAAATGATGTAAGGGCGCGTTGTAAGCTTGAGGTTGTGATGTCAGTATCCTTCACAGGGGCAGTGTGATGTCAGTGTCCGTCACAGGGGCAGTGTGATGTCAGTGTCCGTCACAGGGGCAGTGTGATGTCAATGTATGCCACAGGCGGTGTGTGATGTCAATGTCTGCCACAGGGGCAGTGTCATGTCAATGTCTGCCACAGGGGCAGTGTGATTTCAATGTCTGCCACAGGGGCAGTGTGATGTCAGTGTCCGCCACAGGGGCAGTGTGATGTCAGTGTCCGTCACATGGGCAGTGTGATGTCAGTGTCAACACAGTGGTAGTGATGTCAATGTCAACCACAGGGGGTGTGTGATGTCAGTGTCTGCCACAGGGGTGTTTGATGTCAATGTCTGTCTCAGGGGGTGTTATGTCAATGTCTGTCTCAGGGGTTGTGATGTCAATGTCTGTCTCAGGCGGTAAGATCTCAATGTCTGTCTCAGGGGTGTGATGTCAATGTCTGTCTCAGGGGATGTTATGTCAATGTCTGTCTCAGGGGTTGTGATGTCAATGTCTGTCTCAGGGGTTGTGATCTCAATGTCTGTCTCAGGAGTTGTGATGTCAATGTCTGTCTCAGGGGATGTAATGTCAGTGTCTACCACAGGAGGTGTGATGTCAGTGTCTGTCTCAGGGGGTGTGATGTCAATGTCTGTCTCAGTGGGGTGTGATGTCAATGTCTGTCTCAGGGGGTGTGATCTCAATGTCTGTCTCAGGGGGTGTGATCTCAATGTCTGTCTCAGGGGGTGTGATGTCAATGTCATCCACAGGGGGTGTGATGTCAGTGTCTGTCTTAGGGGGTGTGATGTCAGTGTCTGTCTCAGGGGGTGTGATGTCAGTGTCTGTCTCAGGGGGTGTAATGTCAGTGTCTGCCTGTCTCAGGGGGTGTGATGTCAATGTCTGTCTCAGGGGGTGTGATGTCAATGTCTGTCTCGGGGTATGTGATGTCAGTGTCTGCCACAGGGGCTATGTGATGTCAGTGTCTGCCACAGGGGCTGTGTGATGTCAATGTCTGCCACAGGGACTGTGTGATGTCAGTGTCTGCCACAGGAGCTGTGTGATGTCAATGTATGCCACAGGGGTGTGTGATGTCAATGTCTGCCACAGGGGCAGTGTCATGTCAATGTCTGCCACAGGGGCAGTGTCATGTCAATGTCTGCCACAGGGGCAGTGTGATGCCAATGTCTGCCATAGGGGCTGTGTGATGTCAGTGTCTGCCTCAGGGAGGTGTGATGTCAATGTCTGCCACAGGGGCTGTGTGATGTCAGTGTCTGCCTCAGGGGGGTGTGATGTCAATGTCTGCCTCAGGAGGTGTGATGTCAGTGTCTGCCTCAGGGGGGTGTGATGTCAATGTCTGCCACAGGGGCTGTGTGATGTCAGTGTCTGCCTCAGGGGGGTGTGATGTCAATGTCTGCCTCAGGAGGTGTGATGTCAGTGTCTGCCTCAGGGGGGTGCGATGTCAATGTCTGCCACAGGGGCTGTGTGATGTCAGTGTCTGCCACAGGAGCTGTGTGATGTCAATGTATGCCACAGGGGGGTGTGATGTGCAATGTTGCCAACAGGGGCATGTCATGTCCAATGTC